TATCAGAGGAGAGTAAAAAAAGAAACCAATTATGGTATATACTTACGAGAGAGATTCCTAAAATGTAATATAGAATGGATGCAGATAAAAGGATGGAAAATAGATAACACCATGCAAGTGCTAACCAAAAGAAAGCTGGTAATATCAGACACAGTAGACTTTAACGCAGAACAGATTATTAGAGATAAAAAGGGATATTTCATAATGATAAAAGATTCAATTTTCCCAAAAGATGTGACAGTTTTAAATTTGTGAGCACTCAATAACAAAGGCTCAGAATGGAAAATTTTCAATTTTTCTGTTCTTCTCGAATCAAAAAATTCAATTATAGCGCTGAGTGGCAAGACAGACTAATTAAATTTTTTAAAAGTACTTAAAAGTATCAATAACAAAAGGTTATTTTTAAATATGTTATACTATTTTTTAAATATTTACTTTTCCTGAGAGAAAATGTTTAATAAGAGAAATATGACCAATACATAAATATAACAAGAATTTTTTTAAAAGATTTTATTTATTTGTCAGAGAGAGAGAGCTCGAGCACAAGCAGAGGGAGAAGCAGGCAGAAGGAGAAGCAGAGTTCCTGACAAACAAGGAGCCCAGTGCGGGAATCGATCCCAGGACCCTGGGATCATGACCTGAGCCAAAGTCAGATGCTTAACTGAGACTGAGCCACCCAGGCGTCCCTATAACAAGAATTTTTTTTTTTTTAAAGATTTTATTTATTTCTTTGAGAGAGAGACAGAGACAGTGACAGAGATAGTGAGAGAGAGCACAGGTGGGGAGGGAGAGGGAGAAGGAGGCTTCCCGCCAAGCAGGGAGCCCGATGCGGGGCTCGATCCCAGGACCCCAGGATCATGACCTGAGCCGAAGGCAGACGCCCGACCGACTGAGCCACGCAGGCACCCCCCTATAACAAGAATTTTTAAAAAGGCACCCCAAAGTCCAGAGAAAAACTGTGATAGTAGGAAATATAAACAGATTGCTCTCAGTAATTTGAAAAAAAAACAAAAAAGTAAGAGTATGTAATATTTAAACAATGCAGTTAAAAAATCTGTAAGGGACACATATTGAATACTACTACCTTCAGAATACATAGTCATCCTAAATACACATACAATATTTCCACAATTAACCAGTTCAAAAAAGTAACTCAGGGATTTTTAAAGTCTCAAAATTACTCTGCTTATGTTCTTTGATGACAGTGAAAATTATACTAGAAATCAGTTTTTTTAAAGGTAACTAGAAAATCCCCAACTGTTCTTTAGTTAAGCAACTTCTAAATATTACTCATAGGTCAAAGGATTAACAGTGAAAAATTGGAGCATACTTTTAACTGGTTGATAATAAACATAAATCAGTAAAGCTTATAGGTTGCCACTAAGGCCATTCTTAGAGGGAAATCCAAAGTCTTAACTGCATATATTAGAAAAGAAAGTCTAAAAATCAGTGATCTCTAAGAATTTGCAAAAGAGGTTAGAAAAAGGACAGTAAACTAACCCAAAATTATAAAACACCTGGGGAATCTGGGCACATTGGGCAAGAGTCAGCAGGCATTGCAAACTGCAAGATTGGACACCCGGTCCCTAAGTACTTAAGATACTAAAACAAAAATAAGCTATACATAGGCAGTCCTTGCTATGTATGATAGTGCAGGACTTTAAAAATGACCATGCAAGCCGAAACTGTGGAAAGTGATCTTAATAATCAATGGATGAAAATTATGATTTTTCTGTGACCTTTAAAAATTTTTGCAAAAATACTAATAACTGTCTTGTTTCTAACTGTACTGTTGATTATAAGGGATGAGTTTATTTTACAAAGAAATAAAACATTTTAATTCTCAATGTTTGTAATGTTTTTAGTATACTAAGTGAATATTAATTTTACTATTTTTTTCATTTTATTTAAAATGACTCTAGGGGTTTACCTGAGTTGACTTATGATGAAAATACTGTATAATGGAAATGATGGAATATTATGCCATCATTAAAGTATTTATAGGAAAATATTTTATAATCTGGAAAAATGTGTATGTTTCAGTAATACAGTTTAAAAGGCAGGTTATAAAATATTAGCAATATGGTATATCTTTCTGTTTTCAATGGAGAGCAAAAATTCTGCTAGAAAACATATCACACCATTAATAATGGTTTTTCTCTGGGACTTGGGATGTCTTTTTTAAAACTCTTATTATATTTTATGTTATAAAGTAAATATTTTTTCAAATACCAGAAATACTTAAACCCATTATTATATGGTCAGTTAATCTTCAACAAAAAAAGGTACGAATATGCAATGGGAGGGGCGCCTAGGTGGCTCAGTCGTTAAGCGTCTGCCTTCGGCTCAGGTCATGATCCCAGGGTCCTGGGATCGAGCCCCACATCGGGCTCCCTGCTCCGCGGGAAGCCTGCTTCTCCCTCTCCCACTCCCCCTGCTTGTGTTCCCTTTCTCACTGTGTCTCTTTCTGTCAAATAAATAAAATCTTTAAAAAAAAAATATGCAATGGGAAAAAGTCTCTTCAACAAATGATATGGGGAAACTGGACAGCTACATGCCAAAGAATGAAACTGGACCATTTTCTTACACCAGGCACAAAAATAAATCCAAAATGGATGAAAGACCTAACTGTGAGACCTTAAACCATAAAAATCCTAGAAGAGAGCATAGGCAGAAATGTCTCTCACATCAGCTATAGCAACATTTTTTTTTTAGATAGGTCTCCTGAGGCAAGGGAAACAAAAGCAAAAAATAAAACACTGGGACTACATCAAAATAAATAGCTTGTGCATAGCAAAGGAAACAATCAACAAAACTAAAAGGCAACATACAGAATGGAAGAAGATATTTGCAAATGACATACCTGCTAAACAGTATTCAAAATATATAAAGAATTTATATAACTCAACACCAAAAAAACAATCTAACTTAAAATGGGCAGAAGACATGAACAGATATTTCTCCAAAGAAGACATAGATGCCCAACATCTGAAAAGAGGCTCAACATCACTCCTCATCGGGGAAATCAAATCAAAACCACAAAACTACAGTGGCTACAGTAGGGTAGCCACTGTAGAAAACAGTATGGAAGTTCCTCAAAAAAGTAAAAATAAAACTACCCTACAACCCAGTAATCAGACTACTGGGTATTTACCCATAGAATAAGAAACACTAATTTGAAAAGATATATGCAACCCTATCTTTATTGTAGCATTATTTACAATAGCCAAATTATGGAAGGAGCCCAAGCATCCATCAATAGATGAATGGATAAAGAAGTTGTGTGTGTGTGTGTGTGTGTGTGTATACATACATTCGATGGAATATTATTCAGCCATAAAAAAGAATGAACTCTTGCCATTTGCAATGACTTGGATGGAGTTAGAGTATAATGCTAAGTGAAATAAGTCAGAGAAAGACAGATACCATACGATTTCACTCATGTGTGGGATTTAAGAAACAAAACAAACAAAGTGGGGGAAGAAAAGAGAGAGAGAAACCAAGAAACAGACCCTTAGCTAGAGAACAAACTGATGGTTACCAGAGGGGAGGTGGTTGGGGGGGATGGGTGAAATAGGTGATGGGGATTAAGGAGTGCATTTGTGATGAGAACTGGGTGAAGTATAGAATTATTGAATTGCTGTATTATATGCCTGAAACTAATATAACACTGTATGTTAACTCTATTGGAATTAAAATTAAAAACTTAATAAAAACAAAAAAATAAAAATACTAGAAATGTTTTAAAATATGAACATTTGTGTTATTAATAAAAATTTTTAACTAGGGAATAATTAGCAACCTCTGTCCTTTCCTTAGGGAGTAATTAATTTTTTTGTTGTTTCTAAGGTTAATTACATGTGAATTTCATGTGTTAGATGAACTTTGTTTTCAATAAATATATTCTAAATATTAAAATTGAATTTTTCTAGTTTCAAAGGAAATTTTAAATACAGTAGGTAATTCTCTTTATTTTAAATATATAGATGCAGGTTCTTTGGGAAACTACCTTGAGATGTGTTTATTATAAATAACATTTTCTGCTAATAATTTATACATTAAAGGTTTTCAAGTTTTTCTGATACTATATTTTTTTCCTTTTAGGTTTGTATCATTTTAAAGTAAAATACTTAATCAGTCTTTTCAGATGTACTTTCTAAAGCTTTCTTTTGGTAGCTGTTTTAAAATACAAAATATCTGTAATTTAATGTTAAGATTAATTTTGAATTTAAGGCTTTCAGAGTTATGGTCAAGCTTATGTAAAATATGCTGAAAACTAAAGCCTCTAATCATCTTGCTTTCATAACCAGCAATTTTATTCAACTCTGTTTCTAACTGGATTAAGTAAGATGTTACCTGAGTTTAAGGGCGCCTGGGTGGCTCAGTTGGTTGAGCGACTACCTACGGCTCAGGTCGTGATCCTGGAGTCCCGGGATCAAGTCCCGCATCGGGTTCCTTGCTCAGCGGGGAGTCTGCTTCTCCCTCTGACCCTCTTCCCTCTCGTGCTCTCTGTTTCTCATTCTCTCTCTCAAATAAATAAAATCTTAAAAAAAAAAAAAAGATGTTACCTGTGTTTTGTGAAACACAATGAAGAAAATAATTCTATAATATTTTATATCCCATTTCCTTTTAATTGTCTAGATGAAACCACTGTTATATTTTTTTCCTGAATGGCCTGTTTCATAAATTAATAGGGTGTAATATCTGAATTTTACCTTGTTGAATAACTAAAATCTCCTTAGGACAAACTGATTTATGGTTGAATTAATTATGACAAATTTAATGCATTTGAAATTGTTATATTTTTATTTCCATAGCACAGTATTTAATGGTGATTAACAATTTAATTTTTGAAGTCTACTTAAAAATTAGTTTTATGTAAGGAATTTTTTTTAAAGAGTATTTTTGGTTCTCCAATGTTTATTTAGTTTACCTTGAAACAGTGATTACTGTTGGTAAAATGAATTTATATTATTACTGTGTTAACTCTTTTTCTGAAGGTTGCACAGCGAATTAAAAGATGCTGTTGAAAAGCAACTGGAGTCCTTTCCCTTTGGCGCAGACATGGGAAATGATATATATACAGATGATGAAACAGTTAGGAATCTACGAGAACAATTACAACTAGCCAATCAAGTGAGTGATGAAAATTTTTTTAAACTATATTCTGAATAAACAGTATTTTTAAAATCTGTGTTAATCATTATTTATGAATGATAACAGAATAGCAAAATTAGTACTTATTGATTTCTACAATGTATAAGAACAGTTAACAGGTAACAAAACTTACAATATATACCGTCCCTGGTTGTTAAAAATATAGCTACCAAATGTAGATTTTAATTGAATCATAAATCTTTTGACATTTTTATGTCATAAAAATATCTTAATGCCAGGAGTGCCTGCGTGGCTCCGTGGGTTGGGCATCTGACTCGATTTTGGCTCAGGTCATGATCGTGAGATTGAGCCCTGCATCTGGCTCCGTGCTCAGTGGAGTCTGCTTGAGATTCTCTTTCTCCCTCTCCTTCTGCCCCTCTCCCAGCTGGCTACATGAATGCATGCGTGCACTCTCTTTCTCTAAAATAAATAAATAAATCTTTTAAAAAATATATTTTAATGCCCAAGAAAATTTTTAAAGAAAAAAATAATCATCCACTCAAATTTACATTTTTCATTTTTCTGTGTTTTCTTCTGATTCGGTGTTTTCCTCAATTTTCAAAGATTATAGAATTATATTTTTCAAAAATTACACTTCTCTTCTCTGTATTACTTTTTCTCCTTTTTTCCTCCCTCATAGTAACTGAAATATTTGGGAAGCTATATTATACATATATATATATGTATAATATATATATATATATATCTCCATCCTGTTTTCAACACTGAAATTTGTGATTGTACGTAAGGGAATTTTATTTTAATTTACAGTTTTATATCCTAGGCATCTCATATCTTATATGTATTTGAATCTCTGTTCTGCTTTCTAGCTTTGTGCCTCAGTTTCTTCATTTATAAATGGAGATTACAAATTCCTTATTATGATTTTGATTTTATAGTTATCTATGAAAAATCATTTTTTATACCCTAGAAATTTAGTTTTGTAGTTCTTATATTTATGAAAGTGATAATTACCTGATTAAATTAAACTGGATTTAAACAGGCTATATTTACCATGATAAAGGAGCGTGTATTTAATACTGATTTTACTTTTTCATGTGTAAAGGGAAGGCATTTGAAAAAGTAATAGAGGAAAAAAAACGAGAAAGCATGCTCTTTCAAACTTTTCCAACTTTCAGGCTCTAGTTTGAGCTCTGTTCAAAATATTATCAAAAAGGATTTATAAATGTTTATACAGAAATAAATGGAAATTAATTAAGACTTATGAAGGCTTTCTAACAGGCTATCAAAAGCTAGTGCACAATATGCAATTCTTGGTACTCTGGAAAAAGATTGTGATAGACCATATGTAAAAGAACCCTCTGTTATATACCTTAAATATATGCAATGATTATTTGTCAATTCTACCTCAATAAAACTGAAAAAAAAATTTTTTTTAAAAGGAAGTGGAATGAAAACTAGATAAGATTTGTGGTTTGAAAAAACAAAACAAAAACAGAACCCTGTCTCTAAAAGGCATCTCTCTGCAGTACTTGTATTGCTATAATTTCCAATGTTAAATTTTATTAAAACTTCAAAATTACTTATTAAACCAAATTTGTTCTCTCATTCCTTATCTTTTTCTCCTCCTGCCTTACCCTCTCTTTGCTTTTCTCCTACATCTTGCTCCACCTCATATTATTTCTCTGAAGATGGTCCTATTTTTTTTGCTACATTTTGGATCAGTCACTTCGTAGAAGAAATTGATGAGGTCCAACTCTGAGCAGTCAAAAGGAAAAAGCTGATTGGTTATAAACACAATTTCCCACAAAATCCATAATGTACTTTGTAAATAAATACAAAATTTTAACTGAAGGAGAGTTTAGGCCTCTTATGAAGTATAAATAATAGAAAATGTTAATAACTCAATAGTATCAAAACAGTAATGTCAAATATTCTGCTTATTATTCATATATGTTTATGTATTTTGTTTTTAAGGTGTGATAAAACACATAAAATTATTTTGGTATCCATCACTAAATTGAAAGACCTTTGTGTTATTCATGAAGACTAGTTGAATCCAAACCAAAGAGACAAAAATTAAGTTAAATACAATTTATAGTAAAAAATAAAATAATTATTATATTATGCTTTATCAAGTAATAAACATAAAGAAATTGACTATTCAGATATCTTCATTTATTTCATAAGTATTAATTAGATGTCTATTAGATACCAGGCACTGTGCTAATTGTTGAGGATACAATAGAGAGTGCTGGTTCCTGCTTTCGTGGAAAACAGGCTTTTGTTAAAAAAAAAAAACCTCTCAAACTTCTTGAGTTTGTTCTCTATTTGCTAGCTCTGTGGTCTTGGGAAATGTCTTTTTACCTTACCTTCATTTATATATGGAGATTATAATAATTCTTATCTCATGGAGTTCTTATGGTAATTCAGAAATTCCCATAAAGCACTTAATGCCTAACACACATGTAAATTAATAAATTTACGTATTATTTTTATCATCGTCATTACTAAACAGCAAGATAAAGAATTAAAATTGAGTACAAAAGGTGCTGGGTAAAGCAAATGTAATGGCCTTGGAAGCTGATAACACTAGTACAATATTGAGTACCTAACTTAATATTTTTAGTTTGGAGTATTCTGTTCTGCTATGATAGTGTGATTTGTAAGAATCTTTCTGGGGGCAGGTTGGCAATAAGAGCCTTAGAAACATTTATATCCTTTGACCAATTAATTAGACTAGGATATCACATAGATTCTAGGAATCTATCCTAAGAAACTGTATGTAAAAATTGATGAATAAATGTTCATTATACTATTACATATGATAATGAAAATTGGAAATAGTTTAAAAATCTAACAATATGGAATCACTTAAATTGGTTTTTCAAATGATGGGTTATACCATTTAAAAATTTTATATTAGTACATTGGTTCTCAATTTTTTTGTGCATTATAATTTCCCAAGGGCTTTTTGAAATAGAGATTATTATTCTCCTTTCCCAAGGGGAATCTCAAATCTTGAATCTTTCTGATTCAAGAAGTCTGGGCTCAATAATTTGTGTTTCTGACAGGTTCTGAGGTAGATTCTTGGTTTTCTATTTGTCCAGATGATTCTTACCATCAGGCAGGTTTGTAAAACCTTTTGAGGTTATGACGTGTCTTTCTGACCATTCTACTGAAAAGAAAATGTTCTTATGGAATTGAAATGAATTGTCCAAGATCATTCAGCCAAAAATCAGGGATTGAATCCAAGTCTTATGGCTCCAGATTTCTGTTCGTCTATACGTTTTAAAACTATGTAAGTTTTAGGCAAAACTAATTGATGATGTAGAAACCAGGATCATAGTTATTTTGGGGGAATAGTAGTATTTTGAAGAGAGGGGTATCAAGCTTCTAGGTGCTAGTAATAACATGCTCTTTCTTGAACTGTGTGCTGGTTACATAGGTGCAATCGCTTTGTGAAAATTCATGATTTCTGTGTTTTCTGAATGCATGTTATACTTCAGTAATAGTTTCCTTAAAACTTATGAACCTCTATTTACTTTAAATGTATACTCATTATCTTCTTAAAATGCTTATCTTTTCACTACACCTTGTTACCTTCTTACTAAAACAGGGTGGCTTAGTTCTGACCTGGGATTTAAAAGTTTGGGCTTTTGGGGCACCTGGGTGGCGCAGTCAGTTAGGCATCCAACTCTTGGTTTCACCTTGGGTCATGGTTTCAGGGTGGTGGGATTGAGCCCAGTGTCAAGCCCTACATCGGGCTCTGCACTGAGTGGGGAGTCTGCTTAAGATTATCTCTCCCTCTCCTGCTGCCCCTCCCCACCCCTCTCTCTCTCTGTCTCTCTAAATAAATAAATAAATCTTTAAAAGTTTGGGATTTAGAAACAAAGAGGTAAATGTTTCCTCCTTGCTGAGGAACCCTCAGCAAATGGCCAAAACCTGCTCCACTCTTCTTTTTAGACAATAAAAAGAGAATAATGCTCTTTACCTACTAGCTTAGCATTTCTTATCCTTTTTGGTTTCAGGACCCCTCTCCAGGATGCTTAAAAATTATTGCTGACCTCGAAGAATTCTCTTTTTGTGGATTATATATCTATCAGTATTTGTCATATTATAGATTAAAACTGAGAGATTTTTAAGAACAAATGGAAATATAAGAACACATTCCAATACCCATCAGAGAGATGACATCACATCATATAAACTTTGGAAAACTTCAGTGTACACTCACGAGAAGATGAGCGTGAAAAAGGCAAATAATGTCTTCATATTATAATGAACATAATTTTGACTTCAAGAGTCTCTATATCACACTTTGAGACTTGCTATGTTGAAAGAATAGTTAATGATGTGAGAAAACTCTGATTATAAAATGCCAAGTGAAAATAATACAGTACAAATAGTACACTGTATGATTCCCAATTTTGTTAAAAGAACAGAAATACAAACTTCTTTTCCAAAATCACATTTAAAAACATGAGTACATCCAAAATTTATAAAGATGCTTATACCTAGACACTAGCAGTATTTACTGTCAGGTGGTAAAATTACAGGTAATTCTTGTTTTCTGTTTTGCTGTCTTTTCCCAACTTTCTACAACATTTATTACTTTTACAATCTGAAAAAAATCTTGTACTTTATCAGGGGCAATTCTCTTTAGTAATTTCCAAGGCTTATATTTTCTTATGGAACAAAGATAGTGCTTTAAATCCATATCTCTGATTTAAGAGTTAAATTTTAGCTATGAAATCTGAATAAAAAGAAAATTTCAACATAAGGCATTTTCATCTTTAGGTTTATTCTCTGAAATGCTTTTTTTTTGTTTTATTTGATTTTGGTGTTTTTGTTGTTGTTGTTGTTTGGTTTTTTTAGAGGGAAAGAGAGGGAGAGGAAGAGGGAGGGAGAGAGAATCTTGGGCAGGCATCATGCTCAGCACAGAGCCCAATGCGGGGCTCTGTCTTATATCCCTGAGATCACGGCCTGAGCCAAAATCAAAGGTCAGGTGCTTTATCAGCTGATTCCCCTTCTCTGAATTGTTATTAATACAAGTATATAGCATCAGAAATATTACAACTATACCATCTTTACACAAGTTCCATTTTTATTTTTGTGACTATATATAAGGATTCATTCTGTAAAAGAGTATGATTCATTTGTACTATGCAATAGCCTGCTAATAATTTAATGAATTCTTGATTCTTTTTGTTTTATAGGAAAAAACTCAGGCTGTGGAACTCTGGCAGACTGTTTCTCAGGAGCTGGACAGACTTCAGAGACTTTACCAGGAACATATGACTGAGGCCCAGATTCATGTAGTTGAAAGTCAAAAACAAAAGGTAATCTTGGATTTCATGGTTTTCTTGTATATCAGTTTTCATGTAAATCTTCATTCTTGAGAAACTCTGTTTTGAAGAGGAATGCCTAAGTGTCTACTGTGTTATGTATGTTAAATAGATCTTTGCTGGTTAGAAATTTCTTGGACAGTTAAAGCAATGCCTAGTATACATTAGGTTTTATAATGTGATTATCAATGAAAGCTATATTTAGTTCTAAGAAGCAGCTATATGATGATTCTGTATAAATGGACCCCCAAAGCTTCTATATTGGCCTATGACAGGAACTATTCATTAGATTGTGGCCAGTGAAGAAACCTGCTCAAATATAATGACAACACCATGTGAAGTGAAAATGTTAACACTCTTAAAGTTACCTCTAAAATAGATGTCAAGTGGGGGCGCCTGGGTGGCTCAGCCATTAAGCGTCTGCCTTCAGCTCAGGTCATGGTCCCAGGATCCTAGGATCAAGCCCCACGTCGGGCTCCCTGCTCAGCGGGAAGCCTGCTTCTCCCTCTCCCACTTCCCTTGTTTGTGTTCCCTCTCTCGCTCACCCTCTCTGTCAAATAAATAAATAAAATCTTAAAAATAAAATAAAATAGATGTCAAGTGTATTTAGCATAAATTAATCAGAATAGAATTTTATAATAGGAAGAGATCTTATTGGTTATTAAGGCATTCTTTCTATTCAGAGCTAGAATGATTTTTGTATTCTTTCAAAGTGGACATCTAAGCTTTTGCTGTAAACCTCTGTTGACAAGAACTTATTATCTCAGAAGACGATCCATTCCATTGAAAAATCTGCCTCCTTGATCCTTCCATTGGTTCTTTTTCTGCTGGGAACATTGAAAACTATGGAGTATTCCAAATTCTGATTCCTTTTCTATGGATTTTGAGAGGGCAGATGTTTAAATACATTGGTTATCACTCCTTACTTCAATTCTCATTTATGGACTTCTCAAATTCCAGTTTATGAATGTTCCTATTACTGTCATCATAATTGGGAATTTCTACCTAAAGGAGTCATAATAATACTTACATGACACTTTGCACTTTACAAAATGATTTTTCTATATATGCCCTGGTTTGAAAATAACCTATATGTAGTCTGGGCAAGACCTTTACCTCTGAGGGAGGGGAAATGGGGAGAATGGACAAAATGGGTGAAGGGGAGTGAGTAGGAAATATAGGCTTCCAGATATTGAATGAATAAGTCATGGGAATAAGAGGCATAATAATATAGGGAATATAGTCAATGATATTGTAATAGCATTGTATGGTGACAGATGGTAGCTACACTAGCAGTGAGTCATAGCATAATGTATAGAGAAGTTGAATCACTATGTTGTACACTTAAAGCTAATGTAACATTGTATGTCAACTATACTCAAATTTAAAAATTTTTTTAAAAATACACACACATACATACATGGCATTTTATCAAAAAGAAAAGGCTTTTACCTGTGAGATCTAAGAAACTATTTCTAAAAAAATGTAAGTTCTTTGAGGCTGTTTCCCCATTTAGATCAATCAACTAAGTCCTGTGGTATTTTTTTCACCTTTATTGTACTGTAGCTATGCAGTTTTTTTGTACAAGCCTTTACAAATAATACTTTGTCCTTATTTCTCCAGTTATGTCAGTCTTTAATTCTGTCATCCAACATATTAATAGCCCCTTCCAGCTTTGTGTCACCTGCACATACAGTGCTTAGTAGGATCATAACAGATAATCACACAGTCTGAAACTTGGGCTTTCAAGCTATGAGAATTTTAAGAAGGGGAGAGAGAAACAATCATTTCTGTGCCAGGATTTATATTGTAGTTTTTGAGTCAGTTTGAATGTAGTTTTTCAATATTGTACAATGTCTCTCCAGCATGTCTATTTACTAATAGAGTGATTTCTAGAAATAATGGCCTTACATAAAACATAAATAGCCACATTTGTTTCTACATTGTCACCTTATTTAATTTTGTAGTCATTTAAAAAAAAATTATCTTATTTCTTCAACTGTTAATTCACACAATAACAGAAGACAACTAAGTTCATCTAGACTTAGGCATAATGATTTTAGACTTGATTTTAGGTTAATTTTACATATGGGTTGTAAACAGAATGCTATTTATACACACCTCTACCTTCCTACTGTAGGATCAATTGACCAATTTTCAACAATTGACCAGGCAACTTCATGTAACTAATGAGAACATAGAAATGGTAAGTGAAAATATCCATTTAGTGTACTTGTTGATATAAACAAGAAATTGTGACTTTAATATTTATTTATGCTAATAAAAATCAATAACAATAAAGCCCATGTATGTGAAATGAAAATAGGTGGGTGGTACTCTTTTCTCTTTATCTGTCTTTTCCTTTCACATTCGATAGCATGACAGTGTTCACTATACTTACTAGAGATCTAAAGCTAACATCTTTCTGAAATATCACCTAATCTATTAGTAATCTTAGGGTCCTCAGTAGGATCTCTTGAGAGTAATCTAGACTGTGAGCTTCTCAAGAGTAGAACTCATGCTTTATTCTTAGTATTTCATTTAGTATGCTGGTAGGTATATAATAAGAATTGTGGAACTGTTAAATGAATAGCCCAGTTTCTTAAAAGTAATAGGACATTAAGAATCATTTGTTAGTTGACTGGACATCAGTATTAATTGGTACATCTAAATTTCCCTTTAATTTTTTTCTAAAAGAAATGTAATAATTAGCCTTCCTAGTTCTGCTCTTTACCTTTTTTCCCCTCTCACTTTTCTTTTTTTCTTTTCTCTCCTTTTCTTTTCCTTTCTTTTTGGAATTTTATTTTACCTCATTGTTGAGTAATACAATTATGACATCCCAGGTAATTCCTCTCTTTCCTTTCTTCATTTTGCTTAGTAACTCTGCTAATTCTTGTTAGTACCTAATGAAAATGTCTTTGTTTAAGAGTGGAGTTGTGCCATCAAAAGTACGTTATCCAATTTTTTCTACTTTTCCAAAATTTTCTCCTTTAACCATGTAAAAAATTATTAAATTTCACCTTATTTCACTTGTTACTTCTAATCACTTAAAATTTTTGATAATATACTTCTTAGACATTTTAAATAGTATTAAAGTACTCCAAAACAAAATGACTGATATCCATAATTAAATCATATTTCTGCATGAAATTAATAGCTTAACCTCATATCACAATTATTCGTTCTTTCAGTATATCTCTTAGAATTGCAGGGATTATATAATCCTTTGGTATCTTATACCATAGAGCCCCTATTTGGATATAAGCAACCCCAAATCATTCTGATGAAAGTCAGGGGAAACGAATATTTGAGTATTCATAGGAAAAAAATTAAAAATTTCTAAGGCACAAGAATTCACAGATTTTAGCCAAAACTAAGAATAGGAAGTGATGGGTACAATAAAAGTGATAAAGAAGTGACAGGATGGATGAAAGAGTCGTGTTGTAAAGAACAAAAAAGAGACTATGCTGGTGGTTAAAATAAAGGAATATGGTAAGAGAAATTTTAAAACTTAAGCTTTTTTTTTTTAAAGATTTTATCCATTTATTTGACAGAGAGAGAGACAGTGAGAGAGGGAGGACAAGCAGGTAGAGTGGGAGAAGCAGGCTTCCCATGGAGCAGGGAGCCCATTGTGGGGCTCGATCCCAGGACCCTGGGATCATGACCTGAGGCGAAAGCAGACGTTTAATGACTGAGCCACCCAGGCTCCCCAAAACTTAAGCATTTTTTCAAGTACTTACTGGGTATCAAACAAGACTGCTAAATGTGAAGGGACATAGTTAAGTGATTATAAAGATCTTGTGCATCTCAAAGAGCATTCAGAGAATAGTCACAGAAGCAAGTTTGAGTCAAAATCAAACTTGAAGAAAAGTACTCATTAAAAAGTTTTCTGATTTCACGAATAAGCTGATTAAGTGAATAGGTCCCTATAGATGTACAATCATTTGATGAGTACACAGAAGTAAATATCCTTCATGACCAATGCACATTTGTAACCTACAGAAGGTAGAATCCCCTGATGTGAATGGTACATGAAAGTACAAGTTTATTTACTATGGCTGTAGATACAATGGGAGTTTACATTTCCTAGAGATTATCTTTACTGAAATCATATTCTTTTTTGAGATTTGTTCATCTCTATAAAATTATTCAAAAATATTTTCTTTTTTTTAATTTATTTTTTTTGATATAGTGTTCCATGATTCATTGTTTGCATATAACACCCAGTGCTCCATTCAATACGTGCCCTCTTTAATACCCATCACCAGGTTAACCCATCCTCCCACCCCCCTCCCCCCTAGAGCCCTCAGTTTGTTTCTTAGAGTCCATAGTCTGTCATGGTTCGTCTCCCCCTCTGATTTCTCCCCCTTCATTTTTCCCTGCCTACTATCTTCTTCTTTTTTTTTTTTTAACATATAAGGTATTATTTGTTTCAGAGGTACAGGTCTGTGATATATCAACCTGAACATGCCCAATCTCGTCTGATGTCAAAAATATTTTCTGATTGCATATTAAATTCCTTTCACTGTTAAAGATTCTCTAGTTGCAAGAGAAATGTGCATCTATCCACAAACTCCTGTCCTACTTGGTAAAACAGGGATGATATATGAAGTAATCATGATCAGTGATTGAAAGGGATGCTTCCCTGGACCTTTCTGAATCTCCAAATTCTAGAATATTAATATAGCATATAATTTTCTTTGTAATGACAGAGAACACCATATTCAGATGCAGTTGTTGAGCTCTACTAGGCTTGCTAACAAGTTAGTTCCCAACACTAGCTTTTTTAAAATTCACAATTCCAATTTATACTTTCCCTAATCACTCTACATCATTTACCTTTAAGGTGCTCCCAAATGGTAAAAGACACAAGCATTAATTATGTTAGAGCCAAGACAGTGTATATAATAAAACGTTAACAGTACATTACAGACATAAAAGAATTCAGAGTTGTGAATCATTTTGGACTGAAGTCATTGATAGTTTCACAGGAGAATTTGAAACGATATTAAAGGTCATCTATTTCCTCAAATGATATAGGCATCCTTTTATTAAATGCTTTTCAGTTAGATGATCATTAGCCTCTGCTTTAACTATTACCTGTAAGAGATTTATCACTTCCTCAAAGAGTCTGTTCCTTTGAATTCTGATTATTAGAAAGCTAAAATCTGGGGCAACTGGGTGGCTCAGTTGGTTAATCGTCTGCCTTCCACTCAGGTCATGATTTCAGGGTCCTGGGACATAGCCATGCATCAGGCTCTCTGCTCAGCAGGGAGTCTGCTTCTCCCTCTGCCCCTTATCCCCACTCACGCTCTCTCTCTCTCATAAATAAAATCTTAAAAAAAAAAAAGAAAGCTAAAATCTTGTTAAATTTCCTCCCATTGATACATGGTTTTATCTTTTGGAGTAACAGAACAAGCTCACGTCTTCAAATCAACCCTTTAGTTTATTTGCGTGCAAGCATTATGTCTTTCCTGATTCATGCCCAGTGTTGCACCCAATTTTTTTTTAAACTATTCTGGTATGGTATAATTTACCTGCCTCTCATTATTCTGGCCTTCTTTCCCTGCATGTGATAGTCGGCCTTTTAAATTGTGGTCTGTGAGGGGCGCCTGGGTGGCTCAGTCGTTAAGCGTCTGTCTTCGGCTCAGGTCATGATCCTAGGGTCCTGGGATCGAGCCCCACATCGGGTTCCCTCCTCGGTGGGAAGCCTGCTTCTCCCTCTCCCACTCCCCCTGCTTGTGTTCCCTCTCTCGCTGTCTCTCTCTGTGTCAAATAAATAAATAAAATCTTTTTAATTAATTAATTAATTAAATTGTGGTCTGTGAATTGAACACTAAATTCTGGTCTGCAATAGTCTGCTTCCCAAAATAAAGATAAAAATGCAGTCTTCAGGCTCTCTTTATGTTTCATTGGAGGCACTCATTCATTTATTCCTTAAAGGTGTAAGTACTTAGAATGCATTAAATCATGTGCCAGTCACTGGAAATTCTGGGAGAAGGTAGTCTTTAAAGTATTGTAGCTATGAACTTTAAATTTACTGTTTGACTATAATGCAACATGCATTGTAAAGTGCATATAAAGTTTTATCAAAGTGCAGAAAGGAAACAATTATTTCTGTCTTAAAGTGAATAGATGATGGCAGAATCAAATTCCAATTCCAGAGGGAAATAAAATAGTGTATTAAAAATATGAAGCCCTGGGGCACCTGGGTGGCTCAGTTGGTTAGGCGACTGCCTTCGGCTCAGGTCATGATCCTGGAGTCCCGGGATCGAGTCCCGCATCGGGCTCCCTGCTCAGCAGGGAGTCTGCTTCTCCCTCTGACCCTCTTCCCTCTCGTGCTCTGTATCTCTCATTCTCTCTCTCTCAAATAAATAAATAAAATCTTTAAAAAAAAATATGAAGTCCATAAGATTGGGTAGAGTATGAGAGAAGCACATTGAAAACTGCTTCCGGGAGAGGCAGCTGGAAAGATGTATGCATGATCTGTTGGGATAGGAAAAAACTGAAATCAAGGCTGTCGATTAGGAGGTAACTATAGTCTAAATAACATTGCCCATAGGCATATAGATGAAGATGATAAGGATAAGGAATTTGTGCCTTCATGGTAAAATCATCACTTAGAGAAGAAAATCAATTCACTTAGAAAAATTTTTTCTACACTTCGAAGTCTGCTTCAGTATCTTCTGTTAGGTTCCTTCTCAGGTTAACCCTGAGAAAAGGATTCTAATGCATGTCATTTATTTAGGAGATAATACCAAGGAGCAGCCAAAGGGTTTCTAACAGTCATGCAAATTAATACCTTGGGTAACTGAAACTTAATCCTAGCAGTGGACTCTGGAAGCCAGTGCAAAACAGGCTCAGACTTATTCCACCATGGGGCACAGGAGGAGTTTGGGAAATTTACATACCAGTTCTCTTAAGTCATTGTTATCCAGCTCTTCCAGAGCAGGCTGGGGACATGAATTCTACAGCACCTGTCATCTTCTGTGCAGTTAGGTAAACAAATTCTGGCACTAACCATAGTTAGTCGAGACTCCACAAGTTACTAGCATAATCCCCAACAAGACTACCCGCACTAAGACACTAAGTGAGACAGGCTCGAATGGCCAAGGAAAACCATAAGACATCAAAAAGCAGATGCAGGTGGTTTGAAGTGAAGCAGGTGTCCACTGGAGTAGTAAAGTGAAGGCAAGGAAGGATTGCCAAGGTTTTATTTTACCGTCAAAAACTCTAATCATTATCATGACTCTGTTTTTTTCTACTTATATGCCCTACAGTTAATCTTTAAAGATGTAGTTTTAAGTGTTCTAATACTGAATGTTTCTATTTTTTTCTTGTGGCAGACTAACCAACACTTTCTGAAAGCAGTAACTGAACAAGATGTGGAAATTGAGCGACTCCGAAAACAACTTAGGTATTTTCAAAAATGAATTTTGTTATTTTATTAATAATTATTTTTCTTCAAAGTAATGATGCCATAATTTTTCCATGAGCATTTTTTTCTTCCCTTTTAAAGCTTCTGTCAATAGCTTTCTATATGTATGATCTGTTAGTACCAGAAAAGGCTGAAATCAAGATGGTTAGGAGGAGACAACTATATGTATGTGAAGGGATGTTCCATGAAGGTAAAACCGGTGCTTATGGAGGAAAATCAGTTCTCTTAGAAATATTTTTTCTGCACATATCTTTTATTCCCCAATAAGCAGACCCTGAGAAAGCAGTGTCAAATCATGTAGTTTATTTAAATGTAATACCAGGGAGCACCAGTAGAGGAGTGGGGAAGTGAGAGAGGGAAAAAGACAAAGCCAATAGAGGGTTTTTAAAAATCTGGCAGGTTAATACTGTACATATTTATTGTGGCCCAGTGGTTTAATAATCATTGCATTGACTTCACAGAAAAAACTTTTTTACTTTTGTTCCCCTTATTCATAATACCTAAAATTCACAAGTATAGTCATAATAGGGTTTTGCTCTATGATGCAGTCATTTAGAAATATCTTTAAATTGTAATATAAATCAACTTTTTATAAAAAATGTAAGTTTCTGTTTGTTAAATGAACCTTGCTGTTTATTTTTTGTACCATCCTGTATTTTGCCCCACAAAATATTTTGCTTTTTTAAAAAAAGAATTTATTTTACAAAATTTTATGCACCACTTTTTATATTTTTATTTTATTGCCTTTATCAACTTTTTAATTTAATTTAAATAAATTTACTTTCTTTTCCCCTAGACATTTCTACTTGTGGGCTCTTATTTGGTCATCCTTATTTCTTTAGATGTTACTGATTTTACAGCTTAAAATAGAATGGCTTACTTAATTGCAAGATTTTATTCTTTTTTTCAAGATGGAAGTGGGTTTTTTTAATTATAAAAGTAATATAAGTCCATTATAGAAAACTCTAGGTAGTATAAAAGTATAACAAGTTGCAGTGCAATTCTGGCACTAACCATAGTTAGTCCAGACTCCACAAGTTACTAGCATAATCCCCAACAAGACTACCCACACTAAGACACAAGTTTAGGGATCCCCAGGCCACCCACACCCCTGACCAACTGGCTATAAATGCAAGTGTTCCCACTAACTACCCAGGCTCAGTAATTCTCTAAAATGGCTCAGGGAACTCAGAAAAGCACTATACTTATGATTAGTTTTATTTTAAAGGTCACATCAGAACCAGCCAAAAGAAGAAACCCATTGAGTGAGATCTAGGAAGGTCTCAAAATTTGAACTTTCATGTCCTCTGGACATGGAACCAGGGAGCATTACCCTCCTGGCATATCACTATGTTCATTAACTAGGAAGCTCAGCTAAGACTTGGTGTCCAGAGATTTTATTGGATTTTTATTATGGGCATATGATTTATGTTAAATGTAAATAAATTTACTTTTTAATATTTTTGAAATGACTGCATCATAGAACAAAACTTTGACTATACTTATGAAATTTAAGTACTTTGACTGATTGAATCATTGGCCACTTGATTGAACTCAATCTCTTCTCCCTCCCCTCCCTGGAGGTCAGGAAGTTGGGCCTGTATCACATGGCTCAAAGCCCCAAATTTCTAATTATATGGTTGCTCTTTCCAGCATGGCCCAGCTCCCATTCTGAAACTATCTAGGGTCCTACCTTGAGTCACTTCATTAGCATAAACTCAGATGTGGTCCCAATGACCTACTGTAAATAAAAAAGATACTGCTACTATGGGGGGAGAGGGGGTAGTGAAGGGCTTGCAATTTTAAATAGAGTATTCAGAATATCTCACTGAGCAGTTGAGATTTGAACAAAGACTTGAAGGATGTGAACAGATTATCCGTACAATACAGGGAAAGTGTTCCAAGTATAGAACTTGCCATTGCATAGTTGGAAACGTGCCTAAGGAACAGCAAAGAAGCTGGATGTCTCTGTGATCTATTGCTGAGTAGCAAACCATTCCAATACTTTGTGACTCAAAACAATAACCCATTTAGTTTATGATATGGGGGGGACAATAGAGCAGTTTTCTGGTCTGGGCTTACTGGCCTGTATCTACTGGACTTGCCTATGTGTCTCTAGTCAGATGGTTGGTCTGCTAACAGTTAGTGTAGTAGTTAGCAGTGGATGATAAACCTGTCTGGCAATTGGCAGTTTCTTCACCAGGACAACAAGGAAAGTCTTACTTCTTCACTTGGTCATTCAGGGTTCCTAAAGATAGTAAGAGAGCAAATCCCAATGTACAAATATTTTTCAAGCCTCTCTTGAGTTATATTTGTTAATTACTCATGGCAAAGCACCTCACCAGGTCAACCCAAATTCAAAGGATAGGGAAATAGATACCCCTCTTGATGGGAAGATTTTCAACATCATGTTACAAAGATGTGGATGTACAGTAGGAAGAATTTGGGGCCATTTTTTATACTCTCTCTCACTAGTATACAGAGTATACTGGAACAGAGTAAACAAGGAGAACAGTAAGAGATAAAGTCAGAAATGTTATGGAGAGTGGAAGACAAGGTCATATGGGGCCTTATAAGCTGTTGTGAGGACAATGGTTTTTTGTTCGTTTTTTAGGAATGGTTTTTAGTAGGAGATTGATATGATCTGACTTATATTTTAATCGATTGATCATTCTGACTGCCATATTGAAAATAGACTGTAATGAGGCAAAAATGGAAGCAAGGAGACCAGTGAGGAAGCTATTACAGTAACCCAGGCAAAAAATCACGTTGAGTAGGACTGTGGTGGTAACAGTGGGAGATAGTTAAGACATGGTCAGGTTCTGGATATGTTTTTTTAATGTTTTATATGGTAGGTTCAAGAGGATTTACTGATAGATTGGATGGAGGTAACAGGGAGATTGAGTCATAAGAGTGACTTGATGTTTTTTTTTCCACAAGAAACTGAAGAATGTACTGAGAAGTCTATGTATAGGTGGCCAGATTTGGTGGGGGAGGAGGCAGTTTGGGCCATATTGAGTTTGCAGTAACTACTGGAAATCCTCATGCTGATAACCATTAGCAAGCAGTTCAATAGAGATCTGGACTCAAGATATGACATGTTTGATGATCAACATAAGAATAGTGTTTAGGGGCACCTGGGTGGCTTAGTCGTTAAGCATCTGCCTTCGGCTCAGGTCATGATCCCAGGGTCCTGGGATCGAGCCCCGCATCAGGCTCCCTGCTTGGCGGGAAGCCTGCTTCTCCCTCTCCCACTCCCCCTGCCTGTGTTCCCTCTTTTGCTGTGTCTCCCTCTGTCAAATAAATAAAATCTTAAAAAAAAAAAAAAAAAGAATAGCGTTTAAAGCCATGAGACTGGAATAGATAAGTACCGTTGACTCATGAACAACACAGATTTGAACTTCATGGGTCCATCTATGTGCAGATTTTTATCAATAAATACATACAGTATTATAAATGTATTTTCTCTTCCTTAGGAATTTCTTAACATTTTTTTTCTCTAACTTTATTATAAGAATACAGTATATAATATGTATAATTTAAAAAATATGGGTTAATCAACTATAAATGTTATCAGTAAGGCTTCTGGTCAATAGTACACTATTAGTAGTTAAGTTTTGGTGGTGTCAAAAGTTATATGCGGATTTTTTACTACATGGTGTGGGAGGTCGGTCCTCCTAACCCCCATGTTGTTCAACGGTCAACTTTTCTTGGATGGGAAGATTAAATTCCCTAATGAGAATTAGTGTTCCCAGATCTTTAAAATTAATCTCAGTGTAATTTGTGTTAAAACTCCTGTAGTTTGTGTGTATATATGTGTCTGAGAGAAAGAAACTTGGTAATCTAATCCTAGTATCATTAAATAGGAAAGTGCCATTTATGAAGACCATTCTTTGGAAGAATAAAATGCAATGTTATTTGTAAGAGCATGAGTTTGACAAAATAGAACAGAAAAAAGAGTAAATAGAAATTTAGTATATGACAGAGGTGGCATTATAAATCAATAGGGAAATAATCATATGAGGGATGGTTGCTATCCATGCAAAAAAATCTGTAAAGTTTTGCTTTTCATATTTAAGTATTTATATGGTTTTATGGATTAAGTATCTAAATATAAAAAGCAAAACTGTATAGATTTTTTTTTAAATATCAAACAATCTCTCTTGAACATTTTGCTAGGAAAGTGTTTCTTAATCAGAATTTAAATGCAGGCCAAAAAGGAAAAGATTGATATATTTGAACATGTTAAAATGTAAAACTTCTATTTCAAAAATCAATATGTCAAATGAAAAGGCAATCCATAGTCTGAGAAGACATTTGTAGTGCATATAATTTGACAGTGCATTAGTGTTGAAGATACATTAACTAAGCATCAATAATAATAATAAGTCCATAGAAAATTGGGCAAAGGATATGAACATTTCAAAAGTCATAACAATGAAGAAAATGCAAGTTAAAATAATGTGATACTATTTCTAAATACTAGTACTGAAATAATGTGGTAATTATGATACCAATTATCAGTATCAGAAATATGTGGAGTGTAATAACAAGTTACAAAAGGAAATTACAGTACAGATACAGTTGATATACATTTTAAATATTTTAAACAGTAGTGTATATTGGTTATGGATGTATATATCGGTATACAGTAAAATAAAATATATATATATTCTATGTGTGTATATATATTATAAAAGAATAAAATTTAAAAATTACTAGGACTGATATACCCTAACTTCAAGTTAGTGATTGTAGAAGTAGGGCATTGGAGACAGCCTCAGCGTCTATCACTGAGGAAATGGATAGGTAAAATGTGGTGTTTGCATCCTGTGATATACTGTGCATCATTTAGAAACATGTATTTACATGTAAAGGTGTAGTTACAGCAACATAGATAGATCTAAAAAACAAGGTTTATATTAAAGTAAAAAGAGATACAGATCTATAGCATAAAAACACATGCATGCAGGGGCGGC